AACATTATTCATAAGAAGTTAACTAGATTTGTCTCTGGGCTAAAACATAACATAACTACAGGATCAATACAAATAAAAAAAAATTAAAATTAAAATAATAAGAGTCAAAAACACAAGTATAAAAAATAGAAAGCAAATACAGTAATAAATACAGTTATTGTAGAATAATAGGCCTATACATACAATAGGCATACACGCAGGATGAAATGTAATGTACTGTACGTAGTGAATGTTGTAGAGGTCAAGGTTGAACGCGTTTCTTGAGACGTGAATGCGTTACAGAACCTCAATGTCACCACATTACCTTCCGAAGCATGGCGGAAAAACCTGTAAAAAAAAAAATCATTTTTACCATATTTTGGATAATTACCGTACTAAAAGTTAGTTTCTATTGATTATTAAGTAGTTTTCTACTCTCGTGTGGTAATATTTTTATCATTTTTGCACCCGAGTGGTCGCGAGTGGTCCCGTGTGGTCGCGAGTGGTTCCGTGTGGTATTTAGTAGGACCTACGTTATTTGGTAACGGCGCATGCGCATTGCTTAGTTCGTAAATCCCATTTCTTCGTAGTAAAAGCTACCGCTACCTACAGTTTTTTAATGACTATTTCCTCTTGATCCTTACAGCCTAAAGGTGCGAGCGAAAAAACTAAATCTATGCTAATTGGAACTTCTCAAAAACTCAGATGCAGTCCTGCTATAAAACAATAATATCAATCATCTGCCTATCGAAAACGTCACTTGTATTAAGCACCTTGGTGTTCATATTGACAACAATCTCACTTGGAACAACCACATCTCCCACCTTTGTAAAAAACTTAACTCTTCTATCTTTCTCCTTTGCCCGAACTAGATACTTTTTAAACTTTTTTAACCACTCTTCTTTACAACTCTCTCTTCTTACCTCATGTCGATTATTGCATTACTGTGTGGAGTTCAAGACCTAGCCACATTTCTAAAATTCAAAAGCTGCAAAACAGAGCCCTTCGTATTATTCTCCAAGTTTATTACACAAGCCCTACCATTCAACTCTTTAACACTATTTCTACTGTTTCTGTTTCTCAAACTGATTTCCAAACTGGCTGCCTGGCCTATCGAGCTTCCAACAATCTCGCCCCCGCTAACATCTGTCGTAGACTTGCCAGGATTACTGCTAATAGTAGAATGTCCACACTGCAATTTTTCAGGGAGACCTTGTCGTTCATAGACCGCAATGCAAACATTTTAAACATTCTTTTAATTACAAAGGACTTAAATATTTTGACTTACTTGATGTTTCCTTAAAGAAACTTTAGTAACTTTTCTAATTTTAAAACTAAACTAAAGAGTTATATTACTAATAATTGTACACTTTAATATTTTATCCCTTTGCATTTAAACTTTTGCTTTAAAAATCTTTTTAAAAATTGTTGATAATTCTTTTTTTACTTTTGTATTTCATTCATCGTTTGTATTGTTGAGGGCCCCTTAAAATCAGCTCATGCTGGATGGGTCACCCTCTTGAAATATGGTTCAATAAATAAATCAATAAATACCTGCCTCTTCTAATTTTCTAAGGACCTTCCTTTAGAGCTGCATCATGTTCTTCCTTAGACCTACCAAATATAAAAATATCATCAATAAAATATGAATAAATTGTAGGATTACAGACATGACTCTTTGAAAGGCTGTTGGTGCAGATGCCAGACCAAAGCAAACCTTTTTAAACCTATACAATCCCTAATGTGAAACAAATGTAGTTTAGATCCCGGCTACTTTCATGCAAGTTTAATTGATGGTATGCTGACTTGAGATCTAACCTGCTAAAATTGTATCTAACAATTCATCTATTCTATAAAGTGGGTGTTTTTCTATCACAATGGACTCATTCACTTTATGTAAATCCACACAGAGACGAATCCCCTCATTTTTTTCCAAGCCACAACCAAATGTGATACCCAATCTGTAACACCTGTCACCCTTTCAATAATACCCTCGTTCTCTAATCTAATTAATTCCTCAGTGACTTTTTCTCTTACTGTAATCGGTACACGTCGCAATGCCTGTTGCACTGGTCGGACCTCGGACTTCACTTTTACCTTATGGGTAAACCCTTCAATATATCCCAAATCAGAACTGAATAACTTAAGAAGTTGCCTGTGTACATAAGCATAGTCACTAGTAGTAATAAAAGCCTCAGCATCTACAGCTAAATATGAAAGTGTTCGGCCATTAGTATGCAGACCCAGCCCGTGTATGACATCTTTACCAATCAACGAAGAACCCTGTTCAACCACATAAAATAATACTGTGTATGCATTCCGTTTGTAAGTCAAAAACAACCCAATACGTGAATAGGATCTTTAGTATAAGTTTTAATCTGTACATGACATGGCTGTAATGCCTCTCATACAAAATTACAGTCAAACTATTTTGTGTTGAGCAGTGAGACGTCTGAAGCTGTATCTACAATGAAAGGCAAACTAATACCATTTAACCCAATATTACAGGTTATATTGTTAGACCTGGTATTATTATCATTAGTATGATAATGAACCTTGACCTTAGGGGGTCTCATAATCATTGTATCATCACCTGAACTAAAAAGTCCTGATCTGCCACACTATTGTCTTTCACCTCGTCGCACTGAAGCTGGCAGACTGCCGTTGTTGGTTTCGACTTCTCCTTGCACACACAACTGAAATGTCCCTGTTTTCCACAAAATCGGCACTGTTGCCCTCTTGCCGAGCAGACGCTGTTGTTCGCCAGATGTTTCGCCGATCCACAACGGAAACACCGTCTACTCCTTTGGAAAAATTCCACCTGTGAACACGACACTGCCGGAGGAGGGTGTGTCAAACTGGAAGAATCACTCACATGCCCTGACATCGTTTTAACCTCCCTCTCTGCTGATTCTGCCTGCACTGCCATGCGTACAGCCTTATCCAAGGTCAGTTTGTCTTGCAGCAACAATCGTTCTCTTAGCCTTACAGATACTGTTTTCTTAACTAGCTGGTCCCGAATCAAAATTTCATCAAATAAAGAACCAAACTCACCATTCTTGGCTAGTTTTTTGATGCAATTATATATGCCTCGACTGGCTCACCCATCGCCTGAGCTCTTTGGCAAAATTTGTATCATTCACTGACCAAGTTTAATTTCGGGCGAAAATGATTATGCAGCAAAGACATGGTTTGTTGATCCACATCCGGTAATTAAACATCACCTTGTTCTCCAGATGCCTCCGGCACAGCGCTAGAACTAGGCTGGATACTATTTAATGTGTAAAAGACTCGTTGGCCCTCAGCACCATGGCTTGTAATCAACAGTGCTTCTCGATGGGCCGCAGCGGCTGTCTGTAAATCGAGAGCCACCAGGTGCGTCTCGAACATCTCTCTCCATGTCGTCCATTTAATCGGCGGTTCGCCTGGGTTCTGCAGGAATGCTGGCGGAGGTGTGATATGGAGGAAGGACATAATTTTCCTAATTTGTAGCTAGTTTACCCCGTCGCCAATTTTAGTGTCGAAAAGACAGTAAATAAACATTGAATAATACAGTACTTCATTCAACGTACAGCAACTGCCCTCTCTCAACTTTACAATCAACGGTGTTCTCAAAACACCACAAACCTATATTTAACAAGCTTATTGGTAACAAATCTTCTCTGTGTTAGGTGCCACTCATCTGACCTTCAAGTGCACATTCGATCTTCACCATTTGTGACTGTCTTTAGATCTAACTACTTAAAGACTCACCACTTAAAGTAATTATCCCCATTTTTATTTTATTTATTGTTGCATTATTTGTTGCATTATTTATTTATGATTCCAAACTTTGCCACTTCTTCTTTTGATTTGTTTGCTTGTTCCGTGCTTAGGTTAGGCAATGATCACAGCTGCCTGTGGTTTGTGAGGTACCTAAGTATGTGGGGTGCAGCTCTTCGTATCTGCAAAGGGAGGCGCTTAATACAAATGTTTGGATTGGATTAGATAAAAAAAATGTCATCGGAATAACAGTATATGTAATATGTAAGAGAATAGAATAATACGGTAAATAGATTAGCTTCTGAAATATATATGCAAAAACATGAAAAGCAGTAAAGTGAAAAGAAAATCAAATACTGAAATAATAAAATTATTGACGGTAATGTGCAAGGAATCCTTGTTGAATGTTAAAGCATAATTTTATACAATTACAGTACTGTGTATTCAACTTGTTTACCGTGATGTATAATTAATCTGTTTACTTTGATAGCAGTAATAATACTTTTTAATTTGAAAGATGGTGCAATGATTACCTTCCTAAAACCTGAGGTTCAAAAATGATATTTTCCTATTGTTTTTTTTTTAATAGCATCAGTCTATTCTATTTATAAATTGGAAATGAAATTAAATTTGTTTGTTATTATATTTTTTGTTTTCAGTAGGTGCCAAGACTCATATGCTGAGCGGTGAAGATCTTTTAACTGCTCTAATACTGTTTCTACTCCATGGCGATCCTCACATTGTGGCAAAACTGTACTATCACCTTGCTTTTCTTCAAGACTATATGCCACCTTTCCTGGAGATCAACCAGCATGGCTTCACAGTCACCCAGTTCTGGTCTGCTCTTAGTTACATGCAATGTCAGGTTAAAGTAAGTCTAGCACAGACTTCCTAAGGAGTTTCCAATGGCTCTTTTATGAGATGATATATTTTAAGTAGTTTTCCAATCTCCTGGGAGAGTGGGTAAATTAAAGTAATATACCAATAAATATTAAATAGGCAATAACAACATTTCATTGGCCAATTCCACCCAGTAAGGGGTGTGGTAGTTTCGACTACTTTCATGTGCGGGAAAAAGTACTACCCGAAATCGGCTACCATACCCTGCCCAGCAGTGGTGCCAGAGGTTTACAGATGAGGGGCCGGCATGTCTGACGGAGGTGTCCGAGCCAAAGGGCTGACGAAGCCTCGGTTGAGTGCCCGGAGTAAAAACTTTTTTTTTTTATAGTTTTTATGGCTTATGGTCCAAAATGTGCTTTTAAACCACAATATTAGAGATTGGCTGTCAAAATAACGTTATTTGGATAAGCAAATTATTATTTTTTTAAATTTTTAATCTGACCACCTAGTTGTGAGTCGCACAACCGGGTATCCAGGCCTGTCCAACATGGGAGTAAATGCAGTATATAAGGTCTGTGATGTTTTGGAGAAATTAATTGCTAAAAGTTGACGCCTATGCCTGTTCAAACAAGTCAACGAGAGCGTTGTTTATTAGGCTTTCATAACCTCATTGGTTGCCAAAATGGCATTCATAAAAGATGAACTGAGAGTGATTTTATTTAATTTTTGGATTCCCTGAACATTTGGTATTGAATAATTATTTAAGGAATATTTAAAGAAAATAGGATTGTCTAACCTTGGTACATTGTTGAGAACACAAATTCCCAGGCCTATACAGACAAACCTAGGCTAGATGAAATAACAAGGAGATTTGACATAGACTGGAAAATATTGACCCATTAATTTTAAAATTGCCCTTCTGGTAATTTATTAAAAAAATAATATCTTTTCAGGTCATTACTTTTCAACAGTGCAATGAAAACTTCACAAATTGCTTATTAATATTTTATGCAACGCTTACATAAATGTGCTTATAATATGGATACATTTTTTTGATCCAGTATACGCACACACTTGCATACATATTATTAATATGTATATATAAACTATGAATGCATTAAAACTTGCACCGTATGATATTTGATATAATGTTGCGGACTTTCGTGTTTAGAGATATAAGCAAGTGAAAAACTGTAAAAACTTGAAAAGTTATGGTTCAAATTTCTCAATGTTGTTTAAGTACTGTAATATAAAATACCTGATATTTAGCCAAAGTGCATATTGTTAAAAAAAAAATTTCATCAACATTAAGAATAGAAGGCTAGAATACTTTCCTGACTATTTCCATGTAATTATTGCTAACCCAATGAACATTACAGGCATATGTGTATTATGTATGAATTGAAAAAGTAGTAGTATCAAAATATCAAATGATGAATACTCAATGAATGATGCATAATTGTCACTTAAGACAAAGTAACATAATTTTAAGGAATATTCCAAGTTGTATAGTGTATATATTTGTTAAAGGAGATGTAAAAAATGTGAAAAAAGTTGATTTTCTTAATTTTTTTGCTTTTACATAGAAATACCTTGAAATTATTTAATCTGTTCTGATATCTTAACAATTCTACTACAATTTTGAAGTGATCTATTATTTCGTCATTTATATTTTAGTTTCTTCCATAAGAGCCTCAGAATTTGAATACAAGATAAGATAATATTGTATTCAGGACTTGTTGCTGAGTCTCTGTTTTTGTCAAGGCATGTTGCCAGGGCATAATGCCATAGATGTGCATGTTAAATCTTATACAGGAATAAAGACTGAGAATTTACAAGTTTATTGTATTCGTTTATTGAGTAAAATTATTCATTAGCAATAACAAGCATAGCTCTAGAGATGTTATTGTATTTGCTTATTAGTAGAGTCATTTTCATGAGATCCGTGACTAATTTTAGGATACCTTTTGGTAAGATGGACCAATTTAGATAAAATAATTTTTTTTTAAATGGCCGCCTGTTGATTTGGACGCTTGTATATCGATAACCACTGGTCAGAGAGACTTGATTTTGGTCTCAAATTGTTCACAATATGCATGTTCCTATTTGTTGTACTTTTTATCAAAAAATGGCGGGAAATGCGATTTTTTGAAAGTTTGACCTTTGACCTTGTATTTAGACTAAATTGATTGCAAATTGTTCAGAAGATTCATATCAATATTCAAATAGTGACCGGAAATGGTACATTCTGACCTTTGACCTATTGTAGGGTTATTCCATGTAAATTCAAGCAGATTAAAAAAAAAATTCTGTATGACCGTCTCAGATTTTGATGAAACTCCATAAAAATGATCCACTGTATTAAAAACCAACAAAAAAAAACTAACCTTATATGAAGTTTCCGAGACATTGACTCCTCAAAAAAGGGGGCGTGGTTCTTCAAAATGTGCAAACGCAACTTTTACTTCAAGTTTGGAAGCTTATAACTCGGGATTGGTAATAGCTATCGAGGTCAAACTTGGTATTCTACTACTTATTTTTCGCCATATTTCACAAATATGGTCTTAGATGAACAGTTATCCCTTCCCTTTTGAAGTTATCTGCACTCAAAGTAGCCGCTTTGTTTAATGATGCAAATTGTTTTGTAATTTTCGAGGTCACCCTGCGTCCATATGAGTGGGTATATTCACCTCGTATTACAGATATATTATCTATGTGTAGTTGTCTCTAGCCACATGCAAGCGCAGGCTGATCAAATCAATTAAAATTGAATGGCATATATTCAAAGTTTGGACCAGATCTGAAAAACGCCTATGTTTCTCAACAACGGATCATCATGTGGACAGTTAAAATCTTTCCTTAAATTTACCCCAGTTAATCAGATACATCAGATCTATCTATAAACCGAATTATAGCTTTGGTACTCATGGCTAGATACAATGTTGAAACTACACATATTTCAATATAATAGGAAATCACAACATTTTTAAGTGTTGGGTCATTCCATGCCAACTCAACAAATGCATTACACCATGGGTCATAGATTTTTTTTAGCCCACTCTCTGAGAGAGAGGGCGTATATGATGATTCTGGGCGAATTTGTTTTTTCTATCTCTTCCTTCGTTTGTGGCGTGATTAGGCCTATCTTGCAATAATATGGAAGATAAGGCGTGGGGAATTTAAAGTATGAAGAGTTTTTGCGAAAATATTGTCGGGAAATATGTGAAAAGTATGTTTTTTTTTAATCATATTTCTTAACACTACGGTGGGTTTCCTATGAAAGCGTGTTCGTCATTGATCAGATTGCAAATCGCCTGATTCCAAATTGTGTTTATCAACCAATCACGGCCTGGAATGGTAAGCTTTGCGGCTAATAAATGCGTCTGCACGAGTCTAGTTGGCAGCGAAGAATGAGCCGTTTTGTGGTGCTTGCAAGGGTGGGTGGTCTCTCCCCTGAGAGATAAACAATGTACACTACTGTAATGCAGGCTGGGCTAGAGGAAGACGAACTAGGCCTATAGGCTGGCTGGGTAGTACGTGTGTGTAATAGATCAGATAACAGGAAATGTAGGCTACTAGTTGCTTTTATGTGTATTAAACCACATAATATTCAAATTAGTTAGTAGCGATGAGTGTATGTGTGCAGCAATTTTCGTGTCAATGTACTGTAATGCAGGCTGGCCTGACGAAGACGAATAAGCTGGCTGGGTACGTACGTGTGTGTAGGCAGAGGCCCTAGTCTAGATCAGATACTACAGGAAATAAATGTAGGCTACAAGTTGCTTTTATGTGTATTAAACCACACATTCAAATCAGTCAGTAGCGATGAGTGTATGTACAGCACATTTCGTGTTGTCGCACTGTGGTGTGGTTGATTACGAGGACGTTGCCGTTAGATAAATGATAGCAAGGTCCCACATGGAATTTTTGTTCTATTAAGATTGTAGCTTTTCAGCATTGCTCTAGGATGATTTTCCTTTACATTTATGATTTTTTTAGCTTTTCGTACTCTACACTTAGCTATCCGTAGCCAACCACATAGACCTAGGTACGTAGTATATTAGATCAGATGTTAATTACATAAAATGTAGGCCGACAGCCGTATTTAATGGGGGCGGAGTGGATTTCTTTTTTCGCGATTTACCATGGGATGGCAACTGTCATCGTTATCTAGACTTGTAGACGCCGTTGTCCATATGGTAATGATGAAGATCGTTATTGACTGATGAGGCATGATTAAAAGTGCCTTTCATTTTCAATGGATTACATTTCATTCCAACGATGGTATAACCAGTCAATGGATAGCCCAGTAATGAGATATTTTGCTTAGATTTTCACAGCGTGTTCCATGTAATTAAATTATTATAGTATATATATGTATGTATAGTATATATATGTATGTATATATATATATGTGTGTATATATATGTATATATATGTATTTATATATGTTTATATATATGTATATATATGTGTGTATATATATATATGTATGTATGTATACATGTATGTGTATATATATGTATGCATATAATGTATGTATGTATAATATGTATGTATATATGTATGTATGTATATATGTACATACATGTATTTATATGTATGTACATATGTATGTATATGTGTATGTATGTATGTATGCATGTATGTATATGTATATATGTATATATATGTATATAAATGTATATATATACATGTGCATATATGTATATGTATATATATATGTATATGTATATATATGTGTGTATATGTATATATATATATGTGTATATGTATATATATAAAGGTGTATATATATGTATATATATATATGTGTATATATATGTATGTATATATATATATATATATATACATACAGTATATATATATATATATATATTTATATATATATATGTGTGTGTATGTATGTATGTGTGTGTGTGTGTGTATGTATGTGTATACACATATTTTTCAAATATTATTAAGGACTATGCCTTTAAATTTAAAGAATAATTTCAGGTCTCCTAATGCTATCTTTAAACGTAAAAGGGGACGACGGGCTGGTTCTCATATGCATAAGAAAATACCAGTGCATGTTAGCAGAGTCATTAACTCAGTTAATACTGGTTTTCGAAGGGGTCCTAGAGTGTTAATTCCTATTCAACCCTTGGCTAAAATTAGGAAATTTCAACCTAGCGTATATTTGGCCAATGCACGTTCTTTGTGTAATAAGATGAGTGAGTTTGAACTAATATTAAGGGACAACAATATAGGTATTGCAGGTATAACTGAATCCTGGTTTCATTCTAATTTTACTATCGAATGTTCAGCTGTTGCGGGTTACTCATTTATTCGGAAAGATAGAAGTAGTCGCGTTGGTGGTGGTGTGGCGTTATATATTAATGAAATGTATGACTAAAAATTGGAGAATGATTGCCCTGATGATCTTGAGTGTCTCTGTGTCGATGTTAAGGTCAGCCATACTTCTTCTATTCTCGCTATTGTTGTTTATTATCCCCCCAACTGTAACCAGAATCAACTGCTTACTGAATTCTTGTTCTAAAATTGATCATTTTCGAAGTTTAAGGGATGATGCCTCATTTTTGATAATGGGTGACTTCAATGATTATGATGTTAACCCCTTAATTGACCAGACTTGTCTCGACCAGGTTATTGGTTTTCCAACTCGCGAGAACACCTGTCTAGATAAAATTATAACTAATACGTCTGATCTTTATCAATCTCCACTCAAACTCTCTCCTTTAGGTCGTAGTGACCATGCTTCCATTTTATACGAACCTTGTACAGTAATTTTCAAAAAAAGCATAATAAAAAGGAAGACAGTTGAACGTCGTCCTCTAAAGGATTCATGTATGCGGCGTTTTGGTCAAGTAATTACAGGAATGGATTGGGATGATTTGATTCCATTAAACGGAAAAGATCCTGAGTACCTCGCTGGTAAATTGGAAAGTGTATTAAGGGATACCTATAAAGATTCTTTCCAGACAGTATTTGTTCGCGTTAAGGAAAGTGACAAGCCCTGGTTTAATCAACGTATAAAAAAATACATTGATAAAAGACATCGTGCCTACAGAAAAGGTAATGATTTGCTATACCGATATTACAGAAGGTTAGTACGTTATAAGATTAAATTGGCCAAATCCTCTTTCTATGAAAAATCTATTGCTTCTCTAAAGAAAAATGAGCCTCGTAAGTGGCACAAAAAAGTACAGAAAATTTCTGGACGATCAAAACACAAATCTTTATTACTTGAGCCTGGTTGTGATTCTAATGTTGTTGCTAATGTTGTTAATAAGCATTTTGCTAGTATTTGTTCATACTTACCGGCACTTAATCTGCAAAAATTACCAGCCTTTCTTCCCACATTTAAGCCCCACTCATATACCCTGGGCAAGTTTACAAACTTTTAAAGGCGATTAATGTTAATAAATCTTGTCATCCTCAAGATATACCGAGTCGTTTAATCAAAGAATTTTCTTTGGAGCTTGCTCCCCCTCTGTGCAGAATATTTAATTGCTGTCTCAGAAATTCCATATTCCATTTTATCTGGAAAAATGCCATAATTACCCCTGTTCCTAAAAAACCTAAGGCTTCTATTCCAGATGACCATAGGCCAATATCCATTACACCGATCTTTGGTAGGATCTTTGAAGCTTTCCTTTTTGAATGTAGGTAAGAATGGCCCCGGAAAAAATGGCCCCAGAAAAAATGGCCCCGGAAAAAATGGCCCCAGAAAAATGGCCCCGGTAAAAATGGCCCCATATAACAGGTAGGTAAAAATGGCCCCAATGAAAAATTCGGTAATAGAAATGATATATATTTTTTTAAAT